TAACTTAAGACTAAGAACTTGAAGTAAGTGTGAAATTTAATAATTTAACTTCATAATTTCAAATTTGAAGAAACAATCAGAAATGTAGATCTATTAAAATTAAAGGTAATCTATCGTTTTGGGTACGTAAAATCGCCCGCCGCTATTAATGTACGAAAACGTTACATCATTGTTAAGGCTTTAATAGAGGTATATACTATATTGTCATATGTTTGTGTCAAATATTATAGATAAATGAATAATAAACCTAAATCAGTGGCTAAATAAAAAGTAAATATATCGATATAGGCCAGAAATTAACTTTTAACAGCAGTGTCTGAGAGCAAGATTTGCTACTATATAAACAGCAGCCATTTGTAAAATAGAGTGGCTTCCCCCTGAATCCGGCGCTATAACTACTATAAGCTTTTAAAAATAAAACTTAAGCAAGATGGCTGCTATAGTAAATCAGCATCGTTGCATCTGTTGGAAACATCGCTAGTCTTCATTTATTACGGAAAAGTTTTAATTCAATTGTTTAAAAACAGGTACATAAATGAAACAAGAAAACATTTTTGTATTTTAAAAAACATAAATCCTCCTCAAAATGTGAAATTATTATTAAAATTTAAGAAGTCACCTGTTTTTCACATTACAAGTCGCGGGCGATTTTACGTACCTAAAACGATAGATTACCAAATTAAATTAATTACTATAAAATTCAAAATTAGATCTAGATCTAGTTATTAACTAGATTCTAGATGAGATAATCAAACCATATCATTTGATATCATTAATTATCAAGGGTCAGTCAGTATCAAACAACAATTTAGCAAGATTTGGCAATGCTTTGTTTTTTATTTTACAATGTCTGAACATAACAATGTATATAAAACAAACACAGCCGATGGCTGTGGCTCAGTTTTTCGTTTTGGCGGCATTGCTTCAAAAAATTTTTTATTTGTACAGCAAAATTTTGCATCCAGCCACAAGGGCTATGACTGATGACGCTAGATCTTTGGGCCGGAAAACTGGCTTTTCTGACATATATGCCTAATGTTGAAGCTGGTTTTCCAGCCTGTCGGGCTCAAAGGTTTAAAGAAATCCTTATAATTCTAGCTGTTGCTGTAGAATAATATGTATTAATTTTTATTGTGTAGTAAAGACTTTTATATTTAGATATTGGCATAGATGTACTTTTGTTTAAGACATTTAATCAAATTTTAACTCAATTTTTTCTTTTACCACCTCTCTAGATGAGAATCATGAATGGGAGTAATGAAACATGAGTTATCAACTTTTTTATCAAGATGAAAATGGCCAAACAAGTTTTATACTCTCGATTAGTCAATGAAAAGAAAATACAGTATTGTATGAAATAGCAAAATACATGAAACATGGCATGGTTGAGAAAAGGAGCTCTCATTTTTGTAATTTGGTATGTTCTGGCTGTTAGTTCTGTGAACTCTGACACTGGGGTGCTAGATGATTTCAGGCACAGCCATGAGCATGAAGACTACAAACACAGACATGTGGACAACTTTGTGATATCCTCTACTCACCTACACGAGGAAGTTCTGCCAACTCAAGAACACAGTGTGCCAGAATCTCAGGCAGGGCCAGGCAGCTTACACAACTCTCCCGCCAACAATAGTGTCAGTCAGGATGGCGGCACTGCCCTGACAGTGCAATCATTTGATCCTAGAAACCAAAGCCTTTATAACCACACACATTTAACTAACTCTGAACCTGCGATGAAAGCAAATACTTCATTAAATTTGGCACCAACCCAAACAGGAGACCAAAGTTTTCATCTGTTAAATTCAAATCAAACAACTGGAAATTACAGCGAGAATGTCAAGAAGAAGAAAAAACTCTCGAAGCAAAGGGATGAGAGTTATAATAACATTTTGTCTGTTAATTTGTGTAATGTCACCCATCCTGGTCAGACAGAGAGAGTTGATGTGGAGTTTACTAGTTCTATTGTAGACAACGGTAAGTGTTGAAATAATACTAGAATTATGTCATTAGTAGCTCATTTGGTGTACAGTTTTATTAATTTATTATGATAAATTAACAATCAGATTGTTGCTGTGGTGTATGAGTTTGTTCATAAATGACATTACACATCTAGTTATGAGGAGGGGAGTGGATAATTTGTAGTTTTGGGCAATGTGATTAAATTAACTATGTGGGTGTTCTTGACAGCATTTACTGACATCTTCTATACTTTTAAGTTTTTAAAAATAATTGTTTTACCCATTTAAAATATATCAATGATAAGGCTTTATGTCAGAGACTAAAATTAAATTTCTATTAACCTGTTTAATGCTGTATTTTATCAGAAATATCAACCAATCTTTAAAAAAAATAATGATGTTGTAAAGATGAAATTTTTTTTTAACTGATAAACTACCCCAAGTCAATGATGAGTTTTTATCATAAGCTTGTGAAATTGTCTAAGCATTGATTTTTAGAATCAAGATATAAGCATAGTTAACTGATAGCTTAGCACCATAGTGTACCAAACAAAGCCTGTCTCCGGTTGATTGTTGATTAAATGACAATGTTTAGCTATATATGTTTATTTGATTTTAAATCCACTGTTAGTGTGGCGGTATAGAGAATTAATTTACTTATGTAGGTCACATAACTAGCTTGGTTTTTATTAACCCTAATCCTATGGTATGTATGTACAGAGCCTCTATAAAATTGATTTCCTGTATCAAATGTTCTTTAAGTCTGGTCGAATAACACAGGATAAATTAAATATAGCATATATCTGGCAGTAATACATCACAGAAAGTAATACTTCATATAAGACTGTATGCTATTTGTAATAATACCTAATACCTTATCATAATCGAGTACATAAATGTAGACAATAAAACTATAGAGCATATCACCAAAAATAACTTGTTGCTGTTTGTGATCTTACAGAGTACATCATCACATTTAATGGCTACTACAAGGCACCAGCCAGAAGGCGTTTTATCTCAGCGGCCCTACAGGAGGTGGGAGTCACTTCCTGGAACATAATCCCTCGTCTCAACCCAGCCCACAATTATCCAAGTGATTTTGATGTTGTTTTGGTAACTTGGCTATTATTTCAATTTCTTAAATTTATGTTATGACTCGACTCATAATTTTGTTGTCAATTGAGTTTTAATTTTTTTTAAATTAATTTTAAAGTAACTAAATTTACCATTCTTTTAAATTTACTATCACAATGCTAATATCAAAGTGGCTAATTTTTTTTCAGTTAAAAATTGTAAACTTTAAAATTTTTTTTAGCATCTTTCATTATATCTGTAACCTTTTTACCAAGATTTAATTTGTGATCCATGAATCACGTACTTAAAAATGATTTGTAATTTATGTCAATAAAAAACTTTTAACTGGTGTATAATGTCATAATGAAAAATACAACTATTGTTTTAGTTTCATGGCCATTCTGATCAACCTGGTGTTGAGGCGTTGAAAGAGCACCCACTGATAAAGAGAGTCACCCCACATAAAAAAGTCACACGTTCACTGAAATTTACTAAGGGTGAGCTCATGTAGATTGTTTAGTGCTGCATTAAAAATTTTAAGTACAAATATAATTAAACTAAAAATAATGACTTTGCTCAAAATTTATGAAATAAAACATGTTACTTCCCACAAAATATAATCACACAACACTTTTAGAGAAAGTTACCTAATTTAATCACACATTAATGATAGTGAAATGACTATTGAAAATGAATTTATTTCGACAGTGGATGAAAATGATGAACCTCAAGCAGAAGAAGATGCAGAGAACATAGACACTTTTAGGTCTAGAAAGGCAGGCAGGAAAAGTTTGTCCACGGTTAGTTGGTGGTAACACCATTTTAATAATAAAAATAATATATTATGTAGCCGTTTTAAAATTTGTCAAATGTAATTTTTTAATTTATTCAAACAGCCTGTGGTGTGGATCTCTCCATCCAAGTATAAATCTAGAAAGTTATTAAGAGCTGTGCCAAAACAAGTAAGTTTTTGTGTAACAACTAGCTGTCCAGTTATAGGTTCATAACTTGTGTATATACAATCATTGTTCATTGGATGTATTTCCTAGATGTTCATTCTTTCTTGCAATGTCATATTTGATTTACTCTCTGTTTTCCTCAGATTGTTAGTGCCTTACAAGCAGAGATGCTTTGGGGTTTAGGATTTACTGGTAAGTTGTTTCTTTCAATTTAACACAATTTTCTTGGTTAAATCAGCGTTAGACTACTTGAGTGGAGGACATTAGTGGTCAGTTTTGGAAACTAGCTTATAAGAGTAAAGGTAATACTTTTAGAACGAACTTTTCATCATCTTTTTTTGTGTGTGACAAGACACATTGAGTTGCTATAGAAAGTGCTCTCCACTTTTGTAAGTCTTCAGTAATTTTCCTTGCAGTCTCCCAATACAGTTCTGCCAGCTGCTTTTAAACATTTAGAACCTTTTATTTATGTTTCTCAACCTATTATAGATCCCACTTTAACTACTATTATTTAATAACAGATGTAGCTGAAAAAAATAAATCACAGGCACACAAATGTTTTGTAAACATGCACATTGGTATGGGGGGGGGGGTAATTCATACATTCAGAAAATTTTAAAACAACTGAAGTGAATGATCCCTTAAGACAGTAATGGCTGTGATGTATCAGTGATACAGTCCCTTCTATATAAATTGTAATACGTTTTTGTTACAGGTGCTGGTGTGAAGGTGGCCATCTTTGACACAGGTCTTGCCACAGATCACCCCCACTTCAAGCGTGGCAGATTAAAAGACAGGACCAACTGGACCAATGAGAAAACTTTAGATGACGGTGAGTTTAACCATTGGACAATCACCTTTTGATGATAGTGACTTCCACCAGTGGATCACTGTATTTGAAATTTGTGTACATTTAAGGTTATTAAATAATATTTTAAAAGTAGATTTAGCAATCAGTGTGAACAATTGGTATGTTGTTGTAGACAATTGTTCTAGTACTGTATGAGTTGTACGTGAACAGTTGCTATGTTGTAGACAATTGTTCTAGTACTGTATTAGTTGTATGTGAACTATTGCTATGTTGTAGACAACTGTTCTAGTACTGTATGAGTTGTATGTGAACAATTGCTATGTTAGTTGTATGTGAACAATTGCTATGTTGTAGACAATGTATGAGTTGTATGTGAACTATTGCTATGTTCTAGTACTGTATGAGTTGTATGTGAACAATTGCTATGTTAGTTGTATGTGAACAATTGCTATGTTAGTTGTATGTGAACAATTGCTATGTTAGTTGTATGTGAACAATTGCTATGTTGTAGACAATTGTTCTGGTACTGTATGAGTTGTATGTGAACAATTGCTATGTTGTAGACAATGTATGAGTTGTATGTGAACAATTGCTATGTTAGTTGTATGTGAACAATTGCTATGTTGTAGACAATTGTTCTAGTACTGTATGAGTTGTATGTGAACAATTGCTATGTTGCAGACAACGTATGAGTTGTATGTGAACAATTGCTATGTTCTAGTACTGTATGAGTTGTATGTGAACAATTGCTATGTTAGTTGTATGTGAACAATTGCTATGTTAGTTGTATGTGAACAATTGCTATGTTGTAGACAATGTATGAGTTGTATGTGAACTATTGCTATGTTCTAGTACTGTATGAATTGTATGTGAACAATTGCTATGTTAGTTGTATGTGAACAATTGCTATGTTGTAGACAATTGTTCTAGTACTGTATGAGTTGTATGTGAACAATTGCTATGTTGTAGACAACGTATGAGTTGTATGTGAACAATTGCTATGTTGTAGACAACGTATGAGTTGTATGTGAACAATTGCTATGTTGTAGACAACGTATGAGTTGTATGTGAAGAATTGCTATGTTGTAGACAACGTATGAGTTGTATGTGAACAATTGCTATGTTGTAGACAATGTATGAGTTGTATGTGAACTATTGCTATGTTGTAGACAACGTATGAGTTGTATGTGAAGAATTGCTATGTTGTAGACAACGTATGAGTTGTATGTGAACAATTGCTATGTTGTAGACAACGTATGAGTTGTATGTGAACAATTGCTATGTTGTAGACAATGTATGAGTTGTATGTGAACTATTGCTATGTTGTAGACAATGTATGAGTTGTATGTGAACAATTGCTATGTTGTAGACAACTGTTCTAGTACTGTATGAGTTGTACGTGAACAATTGCTATGTTAGTTGTATGTGAACAATTGCTATGTTAGTTGTATGTGAACAATTGCTATGTTCTAGTACTGTATGAGTTGTATGTGAACAATTGCTATGTTGTAGACAACGTATGAGTTGTATGTGAACAATTGCTATGTTGTAGACAACGTATGAGTTGTATGTGAAGAATTGCTATGTTGTAGACAACGTATGAGTTGTATGTGAACAATTGCTATGTTGTAGACAATGTATGAGTTGTATGTGAACTATTGCTATGTTGTAGACAACGTATGAGTTGTATGTGAACAATTGCTATGTTGTAGACAATGTATGAGTTGTATGTGAAGAATTGCTATGTTGTAGACAACGTATGAGTTGTATGTGAACAATTGCTATGTTGTAGACAATGTATGAGTTGTATGTGAACTATTGCTATGTTGTAGACAATGTATGAGTTGTATGTGAACAATTGCTATGTTGTAGACAACTGTTCTAGTACTGTATGAGTTGTACGTGAACAATTGCTATGTTAGTTGTATGTGAACAATTGCTATGTTAGTTGTATGTGAACAATTGCTATGTTCTAGTACTGTATGAGTTGTATGTGAACAATTGCTATGTTGTAGACAACGTATGAGTTGTATGTGAACAATTGCTATGTTGTAGACAACATATGAGTTGTATGTGAACAATTGCTATGTTGTAGACAATGTATGAGTTGTATGTGAACTATTGCTATGTTGTAGACAACGTATGAGTTGTATGTGAACAATTGCTATGTTGTAGACAACGTATGAGTTGTATGTGAACTATTGCTATGTTGTAGACAACATATGAGTTGTATGTGAACAATTGCTATGTTGTAGACAACGTATGAGTTGTATGTGAACAATTGCTATGTTGTAGACAACGTATGAGTTGTATGTGAACAATTGCTATGTTGTAGACAACGTATGAGTTGTATGTGAACAATTGCTATGTTGTAGACAACATATGAGTTGTATGTGAACAATTTCAGGACTAGGACATGGCACTTTTGTAGCAGGTGTAATAGCCAGCCATAAGGAGTGCCTTGGATTTGCACCTGATGCTGACATCTTTGTCTTTAGAGTCTTCACTAACAACCAGGTAATTATGGTCCTTGTGTTTAATCTTCCTCAGGTAAACTTAATCAACAGGTATCTAACACATTTAGTAAACAAAGAGATTACTGCTCATCTGGTCAGCTAATTATTGAAAATTATGTAACTGTAACTGGAAAATATTTAACACAATTAACACAACAAAATTGACTGATGACTCGTAGGTAACAGAGTACCTCAAGAGGGCTGAATCCATTAATAAAGTGGACTTGTTGTGTATCATTGACAGTTAATTAACATATTCACGGGCCCATTAATTCATCCTTTCTTCTCTAGTATGCTGTGAAGTTACCATTGTTGTTAAAATATGAAGCTCTTTAAGATGTGCTTTAGATATAATACACCTATGCAGCTGGTAAAGTTATTAATGAAAGACCTTGTTACAATGTCCAGGTCTCCTACACTTCCTGGTTCCTGGATGCCTTTAACTACGCCATCCTGAAGAAAATTGACGTCCTTAACTTGAGCATTGGTGGCCCAGACTTCATGGACCACCCCTTTGTGGATAAGGTGATACACAGATGCAGTAGTCACACTAGTGCTTACATTATCATGTCTTGTCCTTACACTATCATTGTTATGGTTTGTTTTCCCATTTAACTCATCTCAAGAAGTTAACATACAATGTTGTAAGGGAAATAATATTTGTATTGTAGGTATGGGAGCTAACTGCAAATAAAGTAATTATGGTGTCTGCAATTGGGAATGATGGTCCACTGTATGGGTAAGTGCTTGCCACTATAACATGAGGTATTACATGTTGAGTTGTTATACACTTAATTTTAAATTGGTAAATATGGGTAATTTTTTTTGTTTTTACATGTTCATTATTTTTAATACATGTGAAATATTTTTGAAAAATGAGTGTAATTGCCAACCAATAATTTTGGCCCATCAGAACCTTGAACAACCCGGCTGATCAGCTGGATGTGATTGGTGTTGGTGGCATCAACTTTGAACATCAGATTGCCAGATTTTCTTCCAGAGGGATGACCACATGGGTGAGTCACACAAACTGTTGTAGCGAACAAAAATTGTACACTCTGGATGTAGGTTCATGATCAGACACAAAGAAGGATCCTTATTGCATCTATTTGCATTTAAAAATTGGGGAGGGGTGTCAGTTAAATTGAAAAAATTTTATAAGAGATATTGGCCTTACAATACAAACATGTTCAACAAGAAATAAATTCATGTACATGTTGATTAAAAAGTATAGTGGTTTTCATTTACTATCATAAGCAACATTTTAACTTTAACACAACAAGAGGTTGTACTTGCCTGACATAAAGAACTTATAACCTTACATAAACATATGTATCTGTATGTCACAGGAACTACCTGCAGGTTATGGCCGAGTCAAACCAGACATCGTCACATACGGCTCTGCTGTGAGAGGCTCTGCTCTTAAGTAAGTAACACCTGAACAATGTAAACACTACTACCTGAGTTGTGTTAGTATCTCCATATAACACCTGAACAATATCAGTACTACTACCTTGTGCTAGTATCTCCATATAACACCTGAACAATGTAAACACTACTACCTGAGTTGTGTTAGTATCTCCATATAACACCTGAACAATATCAGTACTACTACCTTGTGCAAATATCTCCATATAACACCTGAACAATATCAATACTACTACCTTGTGCAAGTATCTCCATATAACGCCTGAACAATGTAAACACTACTATTTGAGTTGTGCTAGTATCTCCATGTAAAACAATATCAAGATACATTTTCAATTTGTACTTTGATGCTTTTATAATTTCTGACTTGTTCTGTTGACTTTATTCACTAGTACCTGACTAATGCAAGTATCTCTGTGCTTTTATCTATGAATACCTGATTTTTGCTAGTATCCCCTGTCCACTAATACCTGCAATGTGCCAGAATCTATCTGCTTTTATCCATTACTACCTGCCTTGTGTTTGCTCTAGATCCAGCTGCAGATCTCTGTCTGGCACAAGTGTAGCCTCACCTGTTGTAGCTGGAGCTGTCACGCTGTTGATCAGGTCAGTCATGACACTAGACATTATTATAACATGTAGTCTCATAAGGTCAGTCATAACATTACACATTTTTTTATCTTGTATGATTAGGCCAGTCAGACGCTAGACATTATTATAACATGTAGTAGGCTAAAGACATAAGTCTTACAGTTATTTGAATAGAAACTGTAGACTAATAATATATGTGAAATAGTTTTAACATAAATTTTATTGGTAGTAATTCTAATAATAATCTTAATTGAATAGATAGTGTTACAGTAAACTTAATTATTGCATGTCATTTATATGTTCTTTGACAGTGCAGTTCTGGATAAAAAAAAATTTGGTAAACTCAGCAACTAATTATTTTGATTGTGCTGTACTAGACAAGAAGCACATGATTAACGAAGCCACTAATTAATTACAGTGCTGTACTAGACAAGAAACACATAATTAACGATGCCACTAATTAATTACAGTGCTGTACTAGACAAGAAGCACATGATCAACCCCGCCAGTGTGAAGCAGGCCTTGATGTCCACTGCCAGGAGACTGCCAGATGTCAACATGTTTGAACAGGGATATGGCAGACTTGACCTGCCCATGGCGCTCAGAACTTTGAGGAACTACACGCCACAGGCCAGGTAACTTTTTTCTACACGCTCTTGGCCAGGTAACATATTTCTACCCACCACTGACCAGGTAACATTTTTCTACACACCACTGGCCAGGTAATATTTTTCTACACACTCTTGGCCAGGTAACATTTTTCTACACACCACTGGCCAGGTAACATTTTCCTACACACCACTGGCCAGGTAACATTGTTCTACCCACCACTGGCCAGGTTATGTTGTCTTCCTGTTTTACACACCACAGATCAGAAAGTAATGTGCTACTTTTGAGAATATTGTTGGGGTGCACTGAGTCACATTTTATCAATATCACTACCTAGCTCTAGTCCTGATTTAAGTTCAATCATAGAAGAACAGTAAATGAGGTGCTATCATCCTTGTTTTATTACCTTCAAAATTTGCACTTAGGTATTAAAATGTATTGCGCAAATAGAATTTTCTTATTAATTTCCACACTGTTGACACAATTTTTTAGTAGTTCTTAATTTTAAAATTTAGAATAAACCAAAAATAAACTTCACTGAAAGGATTAAAAAAAAAATGTAATCAAAATTTCCTTCAAGGTAATCAAAACATTGTCAAATATTTAGAGAATTTTGTTTTTAAGTTTAAAAATACTTAAAGGAAATCCAAGGGAGTTAATATATTTTAAAATTTTTATTTCCCTTGCAGTGCAAGTCCAAGTTACATTGACCTAATGGAGTCCCCATACATGTGGCCATACTGCACCCAGCCTATTTACTATGGTGGGATGCCTGTCATTGTCAATGTAAGTTCTCATTATTTACTCATTTTGATTCTTTTTTTTTTTTTTACATATTCCTCAAGGGCATAGAAAATTGAATCTTCTGTAGTTGGTTTTGGCCAACAAAAATGTGTTGACTTAGTTAAGCTCTATTTGGCAACTGAAACATGTTTCAAAATTTTCACCATTCCCTGCCATTTACATAGCATATTCCATTTGACCCCTTAAGTAGCCAGATGTTTGCATTAAAGCAAAAAAATAACTGAATTGTGTATTGTTCTTTCATCTTGTAGGTGACTATTCTCAATGGAATGGGAGTCACAGGGAAGATTATTGAGAAGGTAGGACATTAGCTTGTGTGTAGGACATTAGCTTGTGTGTAGGACATTAGCTTGTGTGTAGGACATTAGCTTGTGTGTAGGACATTAGCTTGTGACTTTTTTATGTAGGACATTGTGTGTAGGACACTAGCTTGTAACTGATGTGTGTAGGACATTAGCTTGTAGCTGTTGTGTAGGACAATAGCTTGTAACAATTAAGTGTGGGACATTTGCTTGTAACTGCTTTGTGTAGGACATTAGCATGTAACAGTTATGTGTAGGACATTAGCATGTAATGGTTATGTGTAGGACATTAGCATGTAACGGTTATGTGTAGGACATTAGCATGTAACGGTTATGTGTAGGACATTAGCATGTAACGGTTATGTGTAGGACATTAGCATGTAACAGTTATGTGTAGGACATTAGCATGTAACAGTTATGTGTAGGACATTAGCATGTAACGGTTATGTGTAGGACATTAGCATGTAACGGTTATGTGTAGGACATTAGCTTGTGTGTAGGACATTAGCTTGTGTGTAGGACATTAGCTTGTGTGTAGGTCATTAGCTTGTGACTTTTGTATGTAGGACATTAGCTTGTGTGTAGGACACTAGCTTGTAACTGATGTGTGTACGGCATTAGCTTGTGACTTTTTTATGTAGGACATTGTGTGTAGGACAATAGCTTGTAACTGATGTGTGTAGGACATTTGCTTGTAACTGCTTTGTGTAGGACATTAGCATGTAATTGTTATGTGTAGGACATTAGCATGTAACGGTTATGTGTAGGACATTAGCATGTAACAGTTATGTGTAGGACATTAGCATGTAACAGTTATGTGTAGGACATTAGCATGTAACGGTTATGTGTAGGACATTAGCATGTAACGGTTATGTGTAGGACATTAGCATGTAACAGTTATGTGTAGGACATTAGCATGTAACGGTTATGTGTAGGACATTAGCATGTAACGGTTATGTGTAGGACATTAGCATGTAACAGTTATGTGTAGGACATTAGCATGTAACGGTTATGTGTAGGACATTAGCATGTAACGGTTATGTGTAGGACATTAGCATGTAACGGTTATGTGTAGGACATTAGCATGTAACAGTTATGTGTAGGACATTAGCATGTAACAGTTATGTGTAGGACATTAGCATGTAACGGTTATGTGTAGGACATTAGCATGTAACGGTTATGTGTAGGACATTAGCATGTAACAGTTATGTGTAGGACATTAGCATGTAACAGTTATGTGTAGGACATTAGCATGTAACAGTTATGTGTAGGACATTAGCATGTAACAGTTATGTGTAGGACATTAGCATGTAACAGTTATGTGTAGGACATTAGCATGTAACGGTTATGTGTAGGACATTAGCTTGTGTGTAGGACATTAGCTTGTGTGTAGGACATTAGCTTGTGTGTAGGTCATTAGCTTGTGACTTTTGTATGTAGGACATTAGCTTGTGTGTAGGACACTAGCTTGTAACTGATGTGTGTACGGCATTAGCTTGTGACTTTTTTATGTAGGACATTGTGTGTAGGACAATAGCTTGTAACTGATGTGTGTAGGACATTTGCTTGTAACTGCTTTGTGTAGGACATTAGCATGTAATTGTTATGTGTAGGACATTAGCATGTAACGGTTATGTGTAGGACATTAGCATGTAACAGTTATGTGTAGGACATTAGCATGTAACAGTTATGTGTAGGACATTAGCATGTAACGGTTATGTGTAGGACATTAGCATGTAACGGTTATGTGTAGGACATTAGCATGTAACAGTTATGTGTAGGACATTAGCATGTAACGGTTATGTGTAGGACATTAGCATGTAACAGTTATGTGTAGGACATTAGCATGTAACAGTTATGTGTAGGACATTAGCATGTAACGGTTATGTGTAGGACATTAGCATGTAACGGTTATGTGTAGGACATTAGCATGTAACAGTTATGTGTAGGACATTAGCATGTAACGGTTATGTGTAGGACATTAGCATGTAACGGTTATGTGTAGGACATTAGCATGTAACAGTTATGTGTAGGACATTAGCATGTAACGGTTATGTGTAGGACATTAGCATGTAATGGTTATGTGTAGGACATTAGCATGTAACAGTTATGTGTAGGACATTAGCATGTAACAGTTATGTGTAGGACATTAGCATGTAACAGTTATGTGTAGGACATTAGCATGTAACGGTTATGTGTAGGACATTAGCATGTAATGGTTATGTGTAGGACATTAGCATGTAACGGTTATGTGTAGGACATTAGCATGTAATGGTTATGTGTAGGACATTAGCATGTAACGGTTATGTGTAGGACATTAGCATGTAACTGCTTTGTGTAGGACATTAGCATGTAACAGTTATGTGTAGGACATTAGCATGTAATGGTTATGTGTAGGACATTAGCATGTAACGGTTACGTGTAGGACATTAGCATGTAACGGTTACGTGTAGGACAATAGCATGTAACGGTTATGTGTAGGACATTAGCATGTAACGGTTATGTGTAGGCCATTAGCATGTAACGGTTATGTGTAGGCCATTAGCATGTAACGGTTATGTGTAGTTCTCTAGACCAGGGGGGAGAGTGTGTTATAGGTTCTTAGGCTCATATTGGTTGGAGGTGTGCACAAATGAATACTTTTGATGATCAATATATTTCATAATCAATGTAGTTGAAACTCATGTGGATGGGAATATACATGGCTGTCTACTTGTACAATTTTCTCTGTAATTTTGCGATCTTGATATTATGCGATTATGTTATAATTATGCCTAAATAATAATGCTTTTGCCTTCCGTAAAAATCAAATCATGACCAACATAAATTTTTAGGGTAGGTAGCTCTGGGAAATGGCTCACCCACATTTTTTTGATAAACAATAGTTACCGTGGCGATTTGAGCACATAACTAATAGAAGATCACTGGTGTGTTGGACTGGGCCAGGCTTGTTAGTGAAGAGAAACATACAACACTGTTACAGAGTATAGGAAAATTGCACTTTTATTTTATGAACACTTCAACACTTGATACACACAGAAAAAATTTGATACTCTAATTGTACATGGGTTTTTTAATGGGAGCTGCACAAGTATGTACATACAGGTGATACGTTGTTCATATGGCACTAATCATGTGTTGATCAATGATATCTACCTTGGTGACACCTAAAATGTTATGTCTACCTTGGTGACACCTGAAATGTCATGTCTACCTTGATGACACCTGAAATGTCATGTCTACCTTTATGACACATTAAATGTCATGTCTACCTTGATCACACCTGAAATGTCATGTCTACCTTGATGACACCTGAAATGTCATGTCTACCTTTATGACACATTAAATGTCATGTCTACCTTGATCACACCTGAAATGTCATGTCTACCTTGATGACACCTGAAATGTCATGTCTACCTTGATGACACCTGAAATGTCATGTCTAATTGATCACACCTGAAAAGTCTTTTGGGGATAATGAAGTAAGGCTGACTAATACTGTATCCACTAGTATAGCAGGGCTGTGTAGGTTGACATAATGAACAGCCCTGTCAGGTCCTTTCATATATTACTAGACAGCTGGTGGATTATGGGGTGGATTACTGGGTGGATCACTGGTTGATCAGTTGGTGGATCATGGAATTAGTCTTTAAACTGGACTTGAAAACATCCACTGAACATTCAATCATAGCCAATATAACATAGAGTAGCAAGTAGGAAGAAGACACAAATCTTACATTCAATCATAGCCAATATTACATAGAGTAGCAAGTAGGAAGAAGACAATTATCTTACAATAAAAAAACAAAAATAAACTAAGTAAATCTTCTGATAACACAACAGCGGATGGGTTAATGCCCTACCCCTAAAGCAACAGCAAGTCTCATGTGATTTGTATACAAATCTCCAGGAATCTTAAGATGTAGAACAACCAAATCTCATGTGATTTGTTCACAAATCTCTATGAATCTAAAGCTGTAGAACAAACAAGTGATTTGTACACAAATCTCTCAGAATCTAAAGAACAACCTTGTAAGCCAATTGGTTGCTTACTTGAAACGTTTTTTGGCATGTTATGCTTGAATGTTTGCAGTCACATCCTTCATTACCTTATATATCTTGACGTACAACCTTGTATTTCCAACACACAGCTATATTTATTATGAAATGTGGCATCATGTGAAGTTAGCCTGACTGGCCTTTTTATGAATGTACCGTTATTATTATCTAGCCAGTTCAGAGACAGATCTAGTTATCACAGTTTATTAGTTTGTAGAACTTCATTGATAGGATCTTTATGGTGTTTCTAGATCTTGGCGCTTCTGAAGCATCATTGATAATATCTTTTTGGCACTTAAAGCACATCATTGATATTATCTTTTTTGCGCTTCTAAAACTAAAGCATCATTGATAAGATCTCTATGGTGTTTCTACAACATCATTGATAAGATCTTTTAGGAATTTCTAAAACATCATTGATGGATTGTTTAGAGATTCTAAACCATTGTTAATAAGATCGCCTGGAGTTCCGGCATGTCAGAACATGCCTGCAATGTTTCCGGAACTCAGCACTGCGGAAGCCGTAGATGACCGGGTTCAAAACACAGCTGAGATAAGGTCCGTTGTAGGCCAGCTCTAGGGCGAACCGTTGACCGTAGGTCAAGGTCATATGGTCCAGGTTGAGCACCTTGAGCAAGATGAGCACAACCAGGTGTGGGAGGTAACTCACAACGAAGACGAATGTCACAATGGTGAACATTTTGTACATGTGGATAGAGATTTTCTCCCCCGAACTTCCGGTGAATATTTCCGATATCCTCTCCCGTAGAGTAACCCTAGGCCGGCTGTGGGTGGCGGAACTCGGGTCCGAGTTTTCGTCCACCGTTGGACTGTGGAGTCCCGCGGATTTGAGGGAACTCCTGCGCTCGAACCGGCTGAGCGCCCTGGAGATCATGACGTAGAAGATGACGGTGGCGACGAGCACGATGGCGAAGGCCGAGGTGAGGATGTAGACGAAGACCTGCTGGATGGGCTTGCCCTCGTAGTCCTTGTCGTACCTGCAGATGGTCACGTTGACCACGTGGTCGCCCATCTGGATTTGAACCTCCTGCGGCCCGTTGACCACCAGCGTGAAGGTGCTGAGGAGGATGCAGCCGACGGACAAAAACAGAACGGTGATTTTGGCCTTCCTCATGGTCATCCCTTCGTGAAGTGGCTTGCAAATCTGGGGGATGTTCGATACATTTATTAGCCATTGGTTTTATTTTTATTTGCCTTCTGGCTTGCGGACTAAATGTTACATTTCTTTTAGATGGTGATCAAAATATTTTTTTTATCTAAAAAAAAAACCCCCTCTTTTCCCAAGCAAATTTTACAATCTCATACCCCCCTCCACGTACCTGATAGTGCGGCTTACCTTGGTGTACCTCGTGTAGGCGATAAGGATGAGCACACAGCCGCTGATCAGGTGGTTGGCGTACACCTGGAAGTGGGTGAGCTTACACAGGGCAACCAGCGACAGGCTCGTCTCGTCCAGGGGACGCATCTTCATGATGGCGTCCATCTGCATGGTGGTCACTGCCGACAGGAGGTCAAGGGCAGCCAGTGTCGTCACGAAGAAGGAGAAGAGGTTTCTCTGTGGGGAGGTAATGGGGCATTAGTCACGTGGGCATTTTCTCAGTTGACAAGTTTCGTTTGGGATTACATGCGTGATTTTTTTTTTCATCTTTAAACATGTATTTAAAAATCTGACAACTATTAAACCACTGTATAATGTGTTGTGAAGAACTTGTGTGATCTCCCTTGGGATTGTAGAGTTACTTACCTTGATTAGGTATTTATAGACATAGAAGACGAGGCTGTTTCCCGCCAAGTTGAGGAGAAGCAGCAGGACAACGATGACCCCATTGGCCAGCCTCGGGTTGATGTTGCTCACGTGGTCGTGGTTTAAAGCGTGGGTCACGTTTGACCACTGGTCGTCCATTTTCGTCAGGTACTGGGCGTTACTGACAGCTGTCAATCAATCTGGAGAAACATCATACGGTTTTACTTTGTAGTTTAATAGTTTACAGTATCTGATCTAGGGGCGGCTAAAACTTACTCCGGGGGTGGGCTGGTTACTATTAGATCATAGTCGCTGGGTCAATCCCCCACCCACCGTGCCCTCACTCTGTCCACACATATGCCGTAGCTAGTCCATAGCAATGCCGTTGATTGTTTAAACATTGAGTGTGCTCTAATGAAAATGAGTTTTTTGAGCAGTCATGACTCAGCACACGGATCACATTGTGTGGCTATTTATACACTGTGTAAACAGACACACAGCCGGAAATCAACACATGTGTGCGGCCTGTGTTGATGATTTGCCTGCCTGTGTACCGTCTGACCTCTGGACGTCATCTAACGTGCTCAGACTGGTACTAATCCCCCCGCCGGTACAAACGGACCCACGTCACGGTAAACTGTACCCGGTGTGTACCCAGTCCCTTCATGTCCCCCCTGATTAGCTTCATTTGTACCCAGTTCTTTTCAAGTCATTAGCAAACCCAGACCCCATATATCTAAATGTAGCCGTGGAACTAGAAAACAAATGCGACATCCTGCCGGGTTCCTTGCTTTGTTGGCTGGATTGTATATTACCTTTCCAATCCCACCCCTAAAAACCTGTGTAAAAAATGACATTACACCATTTGATATTAGAACGCGTGAGACCATTTTACCCCCGGCGTCTGTACGTTTATTTCTAGTTCTGGAGTTTTCTAAAAACGGCCGGGCAAGGAAGTTGTTAGGTGAAAACAACATTCCTTCACGTGTTATATATAGAAGTAGGATCTAGATCTAGTAGTAGTAGTTTTGTTTAGTCACTCAGTGTGGTGGCAACTACGTCAGACAGGCTATAAATAGATGCGTTGTTTTCCTTGTCCTGTTGTGTGACACTCCGATCCCCGGCCACTTGAACTTAACAATTATTTGTCTCACAGAAAGATGTATAGAATCTAGGGGTCAATTAATTCTTAGAGAAAGACGTATAGGGCTCAATTATTTAAGTCTAAGAAGAAAGGCACTTTAAATGTGGGCCTTTATTTTACCGTAGGTACATTATATGTCTGACCACGGAACAAAAACTATTAAAAGTGTCATTTTAAAATTTAAGCAGTCCTATCTATTTGAATGATCTCGAACCGTTCTCTTATTCAGTTGTTCATTCCTAGCCCCCCCCCCCTTCCCCCCAAGTTTACTATGCCATACATTATAACGTGTGTGTGTGTTATCTTTATCTTTGTTAAACAGCTACAACTATCAGACTGAAACATATAGCAATTAAATTTTATTGTTATAATTTGAGGACATTATTTTACCGTAGGAGGCTTATCATCTTATAGCCTTCACTAAAATGTCATGTGTATCAACCTTGATATCCCATGTACCCGGTGTTAGAGTAAGCCGCTATCCACTGAAACCTTAAGCATAGCTGTAGCTCATTTAAATTCATTTACTCCGCTTCAAGCCAACTCTTTAAACTAACCCTAATACATATGAAGTACCATTGGTTGAAATTCCCAATGTCCAACTGGTTGTCGGCTAAACGGTTAAACCTTTATATGTGACTTGAAAAAATAAACTGGCTATGTCGTAAACGTCCGTAAATACTCTCCCTTTCCCCCATATAGATCTAGCTGCATGTTAGGTTGTTCTTACAAGGCAGCTCATCAAACATTCAACACTTTACAGTAGCAACCAAGCCATTGTTGTCATGAAACTTGTCATGCCTACACTAGTTCCTAGCCATTGTTGTCATAAAACTTGTTACTATTTACACTTCCCCCCCCCCCCCCATGATTATTTTAAAGAAAATGTTCATATTTTACTATCGAACATACACACATTTAAAGATTCTTGTCTTATCTTACAACTCACCGTATTTATACATGCATTTTCTATACCCCACACTATTTGCCACCGTTGGGCTCAATAACTGTACTCTACTTTATTTCCTGATCATTTAGTTAAAGAAATCTGCCATATCCTATCCTATGATTCACCAAAAACGATCTGGTGATCCGCTTTAACATTAGTGACTTGTCATTTACTATCATATCCACCGTGTTAAAAATAAACGTGACGTACGATAAATACCCATTTTGTTATTATGAAACTTGTCATATCCAACAATCCACCGTGGTGAAAAAGAAACTTGTCATATCGAACAATCTACCGTAGTATTAAAGTAACTTATCCGACGATCCACCAGTTCGATGAAGAAACCACAACCTTGTTGAATGCTGTTCATATCCCAGTGACAGCATACACTAGAAGGAGCGACAATTCGCTGTGGTTTAACTTCTCGCTTTTCGTGCGCGCGTCACTTTCGGCGCTGTTCCCCTTGTCGCCATGTGCGATTAGCCTACCCCTCGCCGAGTGCTAGGTGAAGTAGGCGCAGAAATCCCGTCAATTGCAGGGGTTCTAAATCTGTTGTTCGGCAGGGGTATAGGGCTTATAACCCCATATCATCGTGTTCTCAAAATAAATAACCTAGTTAAGTTGATTTAATTAAATATGCAACTCCCTTAACGAGACACATCAAATCACGCAATCAGTATGAGCATCACGGTACTTCACAAACAAAAACCTCAGTTAACGAGACACATCAAATCACGCAATCAGTATGAGCATCACGGTACTTCACAAACAAAAACCTCAGTTAACGAGACACATCAAATCACGTATGAGCATCACGGTACTTCACAAACAAAAACCTCAGTTAACGAGACACACCAAATCACGTATGAGCATCACGGTACTTCACAAACAAAAACCTCAGTTAACGAGACACACCAAATCACGCAATCAGTATGAGCATCGCGATACTTCACAAACAAAAACCTCAGTTAACGAGACACATCAAATCAGGCAGTCAGTAGTGGCGTGGTATTGTAGTAGTAGCGTGGTATTGTTGTGGTATTGTTGTAGTAGCGTGGTATTGTTGTAGTAGCGTGGTATTGTTGTGGTATTGTTGTAGTAGCGTGGTATTGTTGTAGTAGCGTGGTATTGCTGTAGTAGCGTGGTATTGCTGTAGTAGCGTGGTATTGTTGTAGTAACGTGGTATTGTTGTAGTAGCGTGGTATTGTTGTAGTAGCGTGGTATTGTTGTGGTATTGTTGTAGTAGCGTGGTATTGTTGTAGTAGCGTGGTATTGCTGTAGTAGCGTGGTATTGTTGTAGTAGCGTGGTATTGCTGTAGTAGCGTGGTATTGTTGTAGTAGCGTGGTATTGTTGTAGTAGCGTGGTATTGTTGTGGTATTGTTGTAGTAGCGTGGTATTGTTGTAGTAGCGTGGTATTGCTGTAGTAGCGTGGTATTGTTGTAGTAGCGTGGTATTGTTGTGGTATTGTTGTAGTAGCGTGGTATTGTTGTAGTAGCGTGGTATTGCTGTAGTAGCGTGGTATTGCTGTAGTAGCGTGGTATTGTTGTAGTAACGTGGTATTGTTGTAGTAGCGTGGTATTGCTGTAGTAGCGTGGTATTGTTGTAGTAGCGTGGTATTGTTGTAGTAGCGTGGTATTGTTGTGGTATTGTTGTAGTAGCGTGGTATTGTTGTAGTAGCGTGGTATTGTTGTAGTAGGGTGGTATTGCTGTAGTAGCGTGGTATTGTTGTAGTAGCGTGGTATTGCTGTAGTAGCGTGGTATTGCTGTAGTAGCGTGGTATTGTTGTAGTAGCGTGGTATTGTTGTAGTAGCGTGGTATTGTTGTAGTAGCTGTTGTAGTAGCGTGGTATTGTTGTAGTAGGGTGGTATTGTTGTAGTAGCTGTTGTAGTAGCGTGGTATTGTTGTAGTAGGGTGGTATTGTTGTAGTAGCGTGGTATTGTTGTAGTAGCGTGGTATTGCTGTAGTAGCGTGGTATTGCTGTAGTAGCGTGGTATTGTTGTAGTAGCGTGGTATTGTTGTAGTAGCGTGGTATTGTTGTAGTAGCGTGGTATTGTTGTAGTAGCTGTTGTAGTAGCGTGGTATTGTTGTAGTAGCGTGGTATTGTTGTAGTAGCGTGGTATTGTTGTAGTAGCGTGGTATTGCTGTAGTAGCGTGGTATTGTTGTAGTAGCGTGGTATTGTTGTAGTAGCGTGGTATTGTTGTAGTAGCGTGGTATTGATGTAGTAGCGTGGTATTGTTGTAGTAGCGTGGTATTGTTGTAGTAGCGTGGTATTGTTGTTGTAGCGTGGTATTGTTGTAGTAGCGTGGTATTGTTGTAGTAGCGTGGTATTGTTGTTGTAGCGTGGTATTGTTGTAGTAGTGTGATATTGTTGTAGTAGCGTGGTATTGTTGTAGTAGCTGTTGTAGTAGCGTGGTATTGTTGTAGTAGGGTGGTATTGTTGTTGTAGCGTGGTATTGTTGTAGTAGCGTGGTATTGTTGTAGTAGCGTGGTATTGTTGTAGTAGCTGTTGTAGTAGCGTGGTATTGTTGTAGTAGGGTGGTATTGCTGTAGTAGCGTGGTATTGTTGTAGTAGCGTGGTATTGTTGTAGTAGCGTGGTATTGTTGTTGTAGCGTGGTATTGTTGTTGTAGCGTGGTATTGTTGTAGTAGCGTGGTATTGTTGTAGTAGCGTGGTATTGTTGTTGTAGGGTGGTATTGTTGTAGTAGGGTGGTATTGTTGTAGTAGCGTGGTATTGTTGTAGTAGCGTGGTATTGTTGTAGCGTGGTATTGTTGTAGAAGCGTCGTATTGTTGTAGTAGCGTGGTATTGCTGTAGTAGCGTGGTATTGCTGTAGTAGCGTGGTATTGTTGTTGTAGCGTGGTATTGCTGTAGTAGCGTGGTATTGTTGTAGTGGCGTGGTATTGTTGTGGTATTGCTGTAGTAGCGTGGTATTGCTGTAGTAGCGTGGTATTGTTGTAGTAGCGTGGTATTGTTGTGGTATTGTTGTAGTAGCGTGGTATTGCTGTAGTAGCGTGGTATTGTTGTAGTAGCGTGGTATTGCTGTAGTAGCGTGGTATTGTTGTTGTAGCGTGGTATTGTTGTAGTAGCGTGGTATTGTTGTAGTAGCGTGGTATTGTTGTAGTAGCGTGGTATTGTTGTGGTATTGTTGTAGTAGCGTGGTATTGTTGTGGTAGCGTGGTATTGTTGTGGTATTGTTGTAGTAGCGTGGTATTGCTGTAGTAGCGTGGTATTGTTGTTGTAGCGTGGTATTGTTGTTGTAGCGTGGTATTGTTGTAGTAGCGTGGTATTGTTGTGGTATTGTTGTAGTAGCGTGGTATTGCTGTAGTAGCGTGGTATTGTTGTAGTAGCGTGGTATTGCTGTTGTAGCGTGGTATTGTTGTAGTAGCGTGGTATTGTTGTTGTAGCGTGGTATTGTTGTAGTAGTGTGATATTGTTGTAGTAGCGTGGTATTGTTGTAGTAGCTGTTGTAGTAGCGTGGTATTGTTGTAGTAGGGTGGTATTGTTGTTGTAGCGTGGTATTGTTGTAGTAGCGTGGTATTGTTGTAGTAGCGTGGTATTGTTGTAGTAGCTGTTGTAGTAGCGTGGTATTGTTGTAGTAGCGTGGTATTGTTGTAGTAGCGTGGTATTGTTGTTGTAGCGTGGTATTGTTGTTGTAGCGTGGTATTGTTGTAGTAGCGTGGTATTGTTGTAGTAGCGTGGTATTGTTGTAGTAGCGTGGTATTGCTGTAGTAGCGTGGTATTGCTGTAGTAGCGTGGTATTGTTGTTGTAGCGTGGTATTGCTGTAGTAGCGTGGTATTGTTGTTGTAGCGTGGTATTGCTGTAGTAGCGTGGTATTGTTGTAGTGGCGTGGTATTGCTGTAGTAGCGTGGTATTGCTGTAGTAGCGTGGTATTGTTGTAGTAGCGTGGTATTGTTGTAGTAGCGTGGTATTGTTGTAGTAGCGTGGTATTGTTGTGGTATTGTTGTAGTAGCGTGGTATTGCTGTAGTAGCGTGGTATTGTTTGTAGTAGCGTGGTATTGTTGTAGTAGCGTTGTATTGTATTGTTGTAGTAGCTGTTGTAGTAGCGTGGTATTGTTGTAGTAGCGTGGTATTGTATTGTTGTAGTAGCGTTGTATTGTATTGTTGTTGTAGCGTGGTATTGCTGTAGTAGCGTGGTATTGCTGTAGTAGCGTGGTATTGTTGTAGTAGCGTGGTATTGTTGTAGTAGCGTTGTATTGTTGTACCATGGTGTGACATGTTTTAGAGGAACCACTTGAGGTTATTGACCATCTGAATATGTTTACACTGGTGACATTGTTTACATCCGGGTGTGTTTGTTTTCCTGCCTGATAGCTTTTGTGTGTGTGGACATTGTGTGGTTTTAGAGTGGCTGTTTTAGTTCCTGTCTGACAGCTGGTGTGTTTGTGGACATTGTGTGGAGGTTTTAGAGTGGCTGTTTTTTGTTTTAGTTGGTGTGTGTGGACATTGTGTCTCTAAATGAGTTTCACAAGTATATTGTGTCTACGAATGAGTTTCACCTGTATATAGTGTCTATGAATGAGTTTCACAAGTATATTGTGTCTATGAATGAGTTTCACCTGTATATAGTGTCTATGAATGAGTTTCACAAGTATATTGTGTCTATGAATGAGTTTCACCTGTATATAGTGTCCGGTCTTGCCAGAGCCATCTGAGTGTGACTGAATGCATTGCGTCAACCACAAAGGTCAAGGCACCCTGGGGACCAACCCCCCTCCCACCCCCTCCCCCCCCCCCCCCCCCACACCCACCCAAACACTTTTGAAATGGCGTTATCAATGCTGATTCTTGCTTGATATTGAGAACGTTGAGGGGGGGGGGGGGGGGTGAGGGTGAGGTATTGCCTCACAGGGAAGTGAGCTGCATAATAACCCAGGTTTGTCCTAGACAGGCGACTGTCACGTTGAAACACCTGACAGGTGAATGTCATGTTGAAACACCTGACAGGTGAATGTCATGTTGAAACACCTGACATGTGAATGTCATGTTGAAACACCTGACAGGTGACTGTCATGTTGAAACACCTGACAGGTGAATGTCATGTTGAAACACCTGACAGGTGAATGTCATGTTGAAACACCTGACAGGTGAATGTCATGTTGAAACACCTGACAGGTGACTGTCATGTTGAAACACCTGACACAGCCGAGGCCTGACTTCTGCCAACAACGGGCTCACGTCTGCCACTTATAAAACTTCCCTGTTGTCTTTCATCATCAGTCGGTTGACGCTTCGCTCACAGAAACCGTTACTACTATTGGTATTTATTGTTGAACTCAGTC